TATATATATATATATACAAGGAATTCAAGCAAGCGCGGGTAAACGGCGGGAGTAACTATGACTCTCTTTATGGAAAACGAAAGAATGAATGTCAAACCCCCGGGTTCTCGGATGGCTCGGGTACTGCGTGCAAGATGCGCAAGCGATAGTGCTGTTGGTGCGAAGGTGCCTGACAGGGTCGTAGCTGGCCCGTCGCGTACTAGGAGTAGAGCCATGTCCGAAATCACAAAAGGGACAGAAGCATATGGCTGTGAGTTTTGTCCAAGGAAGTTCCAGACCATGCGTGGTCTAAGTCTGCATGTTACTAAGGCCCACCCAGTGGTGGCCAGCGCTGTGGATGTCGAGCGCGTAAAAGCACGTTGGTCAGTGGAGGAAGTCAGGCTCATGGCTCGCGCTGAGGCTTCAGCCACCTTAGACGGGGGAATTATCTTCATGAATCAACATCTGCAGGAGAAGTTTCCCCATAAGAGTCTCGAAGCTGTCAAGGGTAAACGTCGACAAAAGGCTTATCGCGAGATGGTTAGAGTTTTCTGCCAAGAGTTGCAATCGCGAAACGCGGTTGTCATCGATGAGGGCGATAGGGACGGCGCGGCGATGACAAGAGCTGTTCCGGCCCTGTGACCATAGAATCTGACACTGTTGATCCAAGCGCACATCAGTTTTCCCCTGAGCAAAAATCTCAGAGGCTGCGGGACATTATTAACCAGCTCATAGAGCAGAGCTCAGCGTTCCGTAGCTATCAGGCTGATACTCTCGTGGGCATCGCGAGAGATGCTCTACTGACGGGGTTGGTCGACGTCCAGGCTATCAAGAGATGGCTGGGCTTGATCTTCCCGCCGTCAGCTGTGCGCTCTCCACAGCGCGCCTCGACAAAGCAGCGCAATCCTCCTGACACAAAAGAGAGTAAGAAGCAGAAAAGAAAGAGAGAATATGCACACGTGCAGACTCTCTACAAGAAGAACCCAAAGACCTGCCTATCGCACGTCCTCGGAGGCGGCTCGGCACGTGAGCGACCGTCCGCTGTCAAATTCGACGGGTACTGGTGTCCCGTGATGGAGGCGTCCAGTGACGCGGATGGAGACATGACGGCCTTGCGCGAGTCGTACGGGGAGGCGGAGCAGGTAGCGCGTACTAGCCATTCTCTCGGAGGATGCTATCAGTTGGGGGACGAGCTGATCGGCGCCTTAGGCTACGCAGACGACATTGTGCTCTTTGCCTCTACCAGGTCCGATCTACAGGAGAACTTGACACGGCTTCAGGCTGCTTTTGCGCGTAATGGACTAATAATCAAGGCAAAGTGCTGTCCATGGTGGCGTCCGGTAAAGACAAAAAGGTAAAAATCGACACAACACCTTACTTCACCGTGGGGGGAGCGCTGATCCCGCAAAGATTTCCTGTCGATATTTGGGCGTACCTGGGCTGCATGTACGAAAGTGCTAGGGAGTTTGCTAATAATTCGCCCCTAGCTTATTCCATCGAGCAACTCACTAGGGCGCCTTTGAAGCCGCAACAGCGGCTGAGGCTCTTGCGTGACTTTCTCCTGCCACGGTATTATCACCGTTGGATAGTGGGAACAGTCACGGCCAAAACGTTGAAGGGCGTTGATATTATGGTACGCGCGGCCATTAGACGATGGTTGCGATTTCCTTATGATGTTTCTGCTGGATATTTTCATGCGCCGATACAGAGTGGCGGGCTTGGTTTGCCTCTATTCAAGATTCTAATCCCTATTCTGAAGTTTGACCGACTGCAGCGGTTGTGTCGCAGCACTCTGCCCGCGGCGCGCGCTGCCGCCGAAACCACATTCGTGGCTAGGCGGTTGGTTTGGTGTGAGAACCAGATGCGCATCCGGGGCAACAGGGTGCATACGTCTGCTGAGCTCAGACAACAATGTGCAACCTGGTTGCGCGAGTTGTGCGATGGGAACGGGCTCAGGGAGGCGGAAACGTCAAAGCTGAGTTCACACTGAGTGTCGGCGGGCGCCGACCTCATTCCCGGAGCCGACTACGTGCACTATCATCACATACGGGCCAACTGTATTCCGTCTAGAGCGAGAGTCTCCCGAGGTCGTGATGGGCGCGAGGTTCGCTGTCGTGCTGGTTGTCCCGATATCGAGACGCCGGCTCACTGCGTTCAGCGTTGCTTCAGAACACACGGAGGGAGAATCCTGCGGCATAACGACTTTGTCGTCGAGTCGGTGGCTTCTTTTAGCAGAAGGGGTGGCATGTCGATGCGGAGCTAACCTATTCGACCTCTGCCGGCCTGAGGCTGCCCGACCTGACCATTGCTAAGGGTGGTAAGGCAGTGGTCGTAGACGCGCAAGTAGTATCCAGCAAAACTGCGTTAGAGGTATCGCATGAGCGCAAGGTGGAGAAGTACCGATCTTGTAATGATCTAGTGGACCGGGTAGCTGAGCGCACAGGAGTGCTGCGTGATAATGTCCGTTTCACCGCCATTATGATCTCATGGCGAGATGTCTGGAGCCCTAGGAGCGAAGGTGAGCTGCGTAGTTTGGGCCTAACGCCTGCCCAACTGCGTATAATACGCTTACTACTCGCGTCCTCTGGGGCTCATGGCTTAATTGGAAGAGATTTAACGGAATAACAACCTGTTATGTGCCGGGGCGGAACGTAACCGCAATTAGTGGTGCACGTTGGAGTGTGCATGATTAGTAGAGTGAGAGCGCTAGACAGCTCCTTTCAAGCACTTCCAGGGTGTTAGCTGCGAACACCGACAGTAAACCACCTTGCAATATCGTTATAGGTTCAGAGTTACTGTGCATTATTGCGGTCGTTTTGCCTTAAACAAAACAAATAACCAAATGCCTCGTCATCTAATTAGTGACGCGCATGAATGGATTAACGAGATTCCCACTGTCCCTATCTACTATCTAGCGAAACCACTGCCAAGGGAACGGGCTTGGAAAAAATAGCGGGGAAAGAAGACCCTGTTGAGCTTGACTCTAGTCTGGCACAGTAAGATTTTAATAAAATATTTTTATTTTGTTACCTCTGTAATTCTTTCTTATTAAATCTTTTATTCTATTAAAAAATACATATATAAACTTTGTATTTAAATACCTTGTATTTCCTTGTTGAATTAAAAAAAAAAATTAATCTCGTAAAATTATTATTATACACATTATTTTTTTATTTACAATGTAAAGATTTGTAAAAGTAATACAATTACTTTTCGATGCAATCAAAATATAAAAATATTTTATTAAAATATTTAAATTTACAAGAAAATATATAAGGTATTGTACATATTCTTTCTTGTAATTGGCGCAATTTAAAGATTTTTTACTTTTTTGGAAAATAGTAGATGTTACTTGGACTGAATAAGGTAATAATTTTGTAATATAATTTTGTTAAAAAAAATTAAAGCTACTACTACCTGGGTTAGATAAGAAATCACGAAGATTACCAAACATTATTATTACTGCAACGTACAATTTAAGAATCCCTGCAACTGTCTCATTGTGGCAATATTTTAGATTACTAAAAAATATTTTAAATTACTAAAATATATTTTAGATTACTAAAAAACATATTCATGTATTGCAAATGTATGTGTGTGTATAAAGATTTGCAGATTGAATCTTCTGTTGTGCAATATGTAAATAATGAAAGTCAAACACACCATGTGCAGAAATCAAGTGTTTTATCAAAACTGTTCAACAGAATTGCAATAAACAGCTCTGTCAGTGTGAACACAACAGAGAATTTGTTGTTCGTGAGCATTGTTGTGGTGCGTGTGCATGCGTGCGTGTGTGTAATTATAGTATAGCCGACACTAATATTTTTTACAAAAATGTCACAAAACAGACAACTTTATAGCTATATTCCTATTGAAACTTTAAAATGTGTATGCGTATATATAAAAATTGATAATCAAATGTACATAAAAATGCCTATCAATAAAAAATAATTGGAATAAAATATTGTTTACTATATATTTGTCACTGTTCATTTTATACTCTAATATTATAATTGCTTTAATATAAAATAGTAGAAATTGTTCCCGATCTATAGATCGAGTATTAATATTTCTATTGGCGTTAGAAATTCTGATAAGATTTGAACGTTCAAAAAAGATTAAGAAATAGGAGTTGTAAGAACGAAAGGAATTGTATATCCAACATCATTAAATATGGATTCTGTAGGACAACAAGATTAAACAAAGGCGAAAAGAAAACGTTATCAAATTTAAGATAGAACTTGCAGGCCAAGGAATATTATCGGAGGCACAAATGACCATGTACAAGATTTATAGTAGGTTTTAAATTTTGATTCGGGTGGGCACAGACTGTCAACATCTGTCCGATAACGAAGAGATACATAAGAAAATAACATAAACATTTCTGTTGGGAACTGAGCATTTGCTTGAAACTAACTTGTATCGTCTAAAATTTTTTGTACGTATCACTAGGGTTATCTAAACTGATGACATTGTGTCCTTCTTCAGTTTTACTTCTCAAGCATGTAAACTTTCGCAGACGAAACTCTCATACAATCCTGATATAGACATCAGCAAAGTTAAAAAGTGTAAATACTAATGGATAAAGAGTTACAACGGGTAAGCCAGAGAATAAATTATAATTAGAAAAAATTATAACATTCTATAATAATAATATATATAATAATCTGCATTTACATAATAAATGCATGTTTATAACAGATGATAAATTCTAGTTGTACTTTTTTACTAGCGTGTTAAAATAATTTACATTTGCTATTGAGTCATATAATGCACGCAAAACATATGCAATCATTCATGTAAGCACTAAGTAAGTTACTACCTGTATATCTACTTTACAATATTACTTTACTTTATTGCTTTTAAATAATAGAGAAAATTGTCAAGAATATAAAACAGATGCGATAAAATTATGCTTAAGAAAAAGAATGCAATCAAGAGTAGTGTGGTTTCATATATCGTATAAAAATATAATTATATAAATTAGAAAGTTGAGGCTCTGTTGAACATCCACACGTAAAAGAAAACAGGCTAATTAAGAGCCAATCGCTGTTGACCGTACGAAAAACGTTTATTTTTCTTTAGGAACGTTCATTCTTCTTTATTGAATATTAACGTTTCGGTCCCTATTCGGACCATCTTCAGCATCTAACAAGGTTTAAACATTAGCATTATGGACATAAAATTCGCAATTATTACATATTAGATATACATACCTACTATAAGTAAAGATATTAATTTAACGGGTTAATTTAACCAACGGCGACCACTCACGAATGTCAAGGTATTTATGTATAGGGCCTCCTCTAGGTTCCAACCACAAGGAGAAACTACGCTATCGTGATGAAGTTATCGTTTTAATTTTATATATTATATGTCAATATATATATATTATATTAATTTATGGAGGTCACTCACCCTCTCCAGTTCGTAAGGAGCAAACCGTCAGTCATGATCATCGGAAACTAACTGTCCGTTTGTAATAAGATCAAAGTCATGATAAATTCGTGTAAACATTAGATTATAAACAACCGCGCGCGCAAACACACACACAAAGTTCAATTTTAGATAGCTCGTTTGTAATGGTACTCTCTGTATCTGTTTGTAAATTGAAGCCGTTTTTTTGTCTTTTAATATATATCATTTTAGGCATTAGTCTCCTTCCGTAAGACTGTTCTTCATCCAAAACTTTCACTTTATTCCAATCAAACTCATGATTATTGATGAGTCTGTGTTTAGTCACTACAGACTTCTGTGCCGTGTTTTTGTTAATATGTTTATGTCACACGTGCATGGAAAGTAGCCCATTACGCACGCAACGCGTGCGTGATAGGCCACTTTCCACACATTTGCAACATAAAATAAGGTATGCAACACGTGCGTGAAGTTGAAAATTCACGGGTGCGGAGTTGACGCACGAGCCGAAGGCGAGTGCGTTCACCGCACCCGGGAATTTTCAACTTCCAGCACTTGTTGCACAAATAACTATTCCGATGTTCCGTTAATCTCGTTTGCAATAATCTTTTTGTTTGCCCGACGTAGGACGCGTCGCAATCTTTGCATGAAATTTTATAGACCACATTATTCCGTGATCCTATGGATATTTCATCTTTTTGTACCCGGATAAATCTTCTGAGTTTATTCAAGCTTGTGTAGGATATTTTTGTATTTAAATCGCAAACTATGTTAGAAAATTGTTCTGATATTTTCGAGATATACGGTATACGATATTGGTGTACTGTATCTTCGAAGTCGATCGTTAATCGTTGTGTCAATGTTCATATTTTTTTTGTTCTGTAACGCGATCAAAGTTTTGATATGTTTTTTTAATATGTTAAAAATGAATTAAAGCGGATATACGTTAATTAATGAGCTATTGATAGCGAACTCGAGATTTTTTTGGTGGAAGCTTGGATGCGACAGACAGAAGGCTCTGTCTATAAGTGAAATTACAGTGCCTCTTTTGTGACAAAGAGGGTGTCGCGATTCGTAAATGTGTAGGTTTATGAAACCAGTCAAAAATTATGTAGTTATTATGTAAAATAAGTGTAACGTCAAGCAAACTTAATCTATTGTCGATTCCTTCTTCTAAAGTGAATTGTAGTCTAGGGTGGAAGGAATTGAACGTTTGTAAAATGTAATCGAGCATGTCGGATGGTGCAGCCATTACAACATCGTCAACATATCTAAAATAAAAGGGGAGAGATACCGTACAGTTCGCAATCGCCTTCTTTTCTAAGTCTTAATTGTAATGTAGTAAAGGATAAAAATTTATACTTTATATACCCCGAGGGGGCCTTAAAGGGCGTTTTGAAGGGACGTACCCAACCCTATCATTTCATTTACTTCCTTTTACCATTTTCTTCCTTTTTTTGTACCAATAGTTTAACGTCTCTTCCGAAAGACGGAGCCCAGGTTTCCATCTAGGGATACCTCTATTCATTAGATGGGGGGGGGGGGCAGCATTTTTTTTGAAAAAATTCTTAGTGGCCTAGCGGGATTCGAACCCGGCAGTAACCGGGTACAGTAGTACAATCTGTTCTGGATTACGAATATGGCGCTTTACCCACTAGATCAGCTGTCTCCCTCTAATTGTAATGTAGTATCTGCGATTGTTAGAGAGAGCGGAGAGCCCATTAGCATGCCAAAAGTTTGCTTATAAATGATGTTATTGAACGTAAAAAATATAGAATCAAGGACGAATTTAAGTGCAGCCATAAATTCATCACGAGGAATATCACACTTGTTCTCAATGTAATGCCAAAACGTTCATTTATGCTATTGATAGCCAACTCTATGGGGACGTACGTTGGTAAGAAGGGATACCACGTCTAACGAGATTAATTTTTAATTATCTTGTATAAATTTGTTCTTTAGTTTTTCTACCAGTTCGAACTGTTCAAAATAAAACTGTCAGGTTTAGGAATAGATTCATAAATAATTTTATATAAAAAAAATAGAGACCGCATAAAGTGGGCTATTCGTGGATGATACTATAATTCTTACAATTAGGGAAAATCCTGCATCTTTATGAATTTTTGGCAAACCGTAAGCTTTTGGTAATAAGCCATCGATACAATTAATATATTTATACGTGATATCATGTATTCGAGTTTTTTTCCATCTTGTGAGCATTGTGTGTAAATTGTTAATTAATTTTTTAGTGGAATCTTTTTTTATTACTGTATACGTGTTTGTATCTCCTAATAATCTTGAAATTTTTTCCGTATAATCTGCCTTGTTAAGAGCTACAGTGACATTGCCTTTGTGAACAGTACATTCGGATTGTCTTGTAAAAAAGTTTTAACTAAATGTGAAGCATCGATAGCAAAGTTATCTAATAGAAACAAAACCTAGAGCAGGCCCTATACAAATACCTTGTCATTCGTGAGTGGTCGCTGTTGGTTAAATTAACCCGTTAAATTAACATCTTTACTCATAGTATGTATATCTAATATGTAATAACTATATGTTTTCTTTAGAACAATTAATTTAGCTTATTGCTTTATGGATAAAGATATTAAAGTAATGTAAAAAACAAATACATATGTATTTCACATTTTATATTTGACATAGTATGTCAAAATATGTCAAAATATGTCAAAATAAAATACAAAATAAAATATTTTAGATAAAACTGCATAGAAGGTTACATATTACCGATTTTAACGCTACTTAAATATGTTGTAGGAGTGGTTTTTCTGAGTAATTCTCCGCAAGAAAAAATGGGAGACGGTATTGGTTTAAAAGATATAACAAATCGGAGGGGCGGTAAACGCTCCTCCTGCAGCAGGGGTGGAGTAGAGTGGACCTCGGTTTGCATAGAAAATTAAAAACCCGAATTGAACAATAATGTACCTCGTTTTGCTCTATAAGCAGGGGTCGGGTGGGATAGACCTTGCTTTGCATGGAAAATTGAAAACTCAAACCGATTAATGTCTTTTAGTTTTGTCTTATAGACTTCTTAAAAAAGATGTCAGACGTCTTAAGTACGTCTTAAGTATAATGTCTCCAAGAATTATTTCATAAAAAACGTTTTTAAGAGATCTTTTAGTTATGTCTTACAAATGTCTAAAAAAAAAATCTTAGATTACTATGTTTTTAAGCGTGTTGTCTGGGTAAACATATAGCTATATAATATCTTATCTACTTTAGCATTTGTCCTCTATTACAGCTTCTAGTCATACTTGAAATGTATAAGTTTTTTATTTGCAACGACTTGAAGAGGGATGACAAAAACAGTTATTGTGCAGATTTATAAAAAAGTTTTTAAAAAGTTACATTAGTTGTAATCTTGCCAGTCACTGTTTTATACGAATAAGTTACGAACTATTGAATTTATATCATTGTTATCTAGAAATTTATTCAATTTATAATTCATGCAAATAAGAATTTGTAAAATTTCTTAAAAATAAAAAATATTTATTAGTAAAAATTTTGCAATATTAACTTGTGGAAATATATCTTTTATGATATAAATTGTACAACACTTATTTTTTCTTTGTAAAAATGATATACAGTAAAGACATCATTTAATAAAAAAGATGTCAGTTTTAATTACGACGTAGTTGAGGAATAAATAAAATTTTGCGAAACGCTATTTTTGCTATTTTAGATAATACATTACAATGAGAAACATAACTAATAAAAATCGTGTAAAACTATTTACTTGCAAAAAAACTTTATTTAGGGAATTTTTTCCAAATAAAAATGTTATAACTGTTTATTTTTACTTAATTTATTAAGATATAATACGCAACCCATTTCTCATAACGCATAATCTTTAAAAGACTTCACAGCAATATTTATATCTTGTTATTGGCATAATACTATGATAATAATTAATATCCTATACAGCATAAAATGTTTTCAAAAAATATTTTTGAATATTTCTATAAAAATATTGCAAGAAATATTTTTTAAAATAGTTTTAGAAATATTTTTAAAAAGTTAAAAAACCTTTTGTGATAACATTTTTAGAAATATTTTAAGAATCTTTTAAAAATATTTATAAAAATGTTTTTCTTTATCACCCAGACAATATTTTTTTAAATATTTGAAATATATTTTTAAAATATTAATTTAAATTTACATATTTATTGTTTTATAATCTTGTTCCAAAATATTTAAAAATATTATTAATTTATTATTAGTTCTATAATCTTTTTTCAAATATTTTTGAAATATTATGAAATATTCTTAATTAAAAGATGCATGGTAGCACATTTTTCCATGCTAGTTTGGAACAACGCCGCTAGACGGCGCATAATGGTAAGACTAACTTGTAAGTAAATTTCAGTTGAGGGCTAATATAATAGACGGAGAGCTGGCTACATAAAAATGCAAGGTATAAGGTACATGAAATATTT